GGTATTTTTGAACTATGGTGTTCCGCAGTACATTATTTGTGATAATGGCGTGCAGTTTATAAGTAAAAATTTTAGAAAGTTGTGTGATAAATATGAAGTTGAAAAAATCTGGTATAATGCAATTTATTCACCACAGTGTAATTTCGTGGAAAGAAATAATCGTACGATTGAAACAGCGATACGTAGCTACATTGACGAACACCGTGATTGGGATATGGAAATACATAAAATTCGTCAGGCTCTCAATACCGCTAAACACGAAGTCACTGGTTATTCACCTGCATTTTTAGTCTTTGGAAGACATGTTCCTATCTCTGGAAAATTTTATGATGGTCATGAATCTAGAGATGATATTGAGATAGTTCCTGGAGATCGAAATGCTTATGCAGCGAATCTTCAAGGTTTAAGTAATATTTTTGCAAACGTTAGAGAAAAACTTCATAAGGCCTATGAAAGAAATTGTAGAACATACAACCTACGCAAGCGTAATGTAGAATTTTTTGTGGGAGATACTGTTTGGCGACGAAATAGGGCTAAGTCCAATAAAGGGGATATGTTCGCTGCTAAACTTGCTCCCAGATTTATTTCATCGCGCGTTAGGAAGAAATGTTCACGTCTAGTCTATGAACTAGAAGATCTTGAATCAGGTTCAAAGGTCGGTAAATGGCATATTAAAGACCTGAAAGCCTATCAAGGACCTGAACCCCCTGATATTGATGACGAAGATTCATCAAACTCAGATTAGTTTCGTTTTGATAAAGTATTATCATTTAATCCCCGAGCTTGAAGCTCTTTGTATATTTTTTTTTCTCGCGGAAAACATTTTTGTATATTGCCATGGCCATGGAAAAATTCATTACTCCCCTAAAACCCCATTTTCTTGTATATAGACATTTAATCTAGTTCAGCCTACTAGATATATGTTTTCTTGTATATTTAATTTATCTTAAATAGTATGTAAATTTAAAATTTAGTGTTTGTGGAAGACTTCTACTGATTATGACCCTTACCAATTTTGACACTTACTAATTTTGACTTTTACCAATTATGACACTTACCAATCTTGTACCCATTAAGGCGAGTGATACGCGCAGTTATCAGGCCACAGAAACACAAATCATAAATTTTATTCATAATTTTGAAAAATTATCAACATACATTTTGATATACTTCTATTTTTTATTGTCAAGAGAACTTATTGTTCAACGATTGAAATATATCTTTGAATCCTTATGATATTTTAATGGTATCTATTTGATAGTCCAGTCAAAGTTTGCTTATCATAAAATATTTTATAGTACAAGCAAATTTATTTAGTTTGTAATATCTGATGGTCTAGTAAAAATAGTCTATCAGGATAGCCTATTTTTTTTTTTTTGAAGAGGGGTAGTGTAACGTTTTTATTTTCCTAACAAGTAAGCTCACCTAAACGTTACTCGTTTGTGCTATAATAAAACAAACACTATTATAGTTTTCCTACCTTTATTTGGAATTTAGTTCCACAGAGTTCATATGGTATAAATATTGTAACACCACCTTGTATGTCCACTGTCTCTCCCTGTATTCTGCTGTAACACCTCACCAGTAGAATCTGTAACAAAGAAAAGGTTATATTAAAATACCTAATATTATATTTTATAATGATACACTTATGATAATCTAAGTACAATGAAAACAAACTTACCAGTCAGTTATTGTTTATTACAGCTGTCATGAAATATTTCACAATGTTTCCTTGGCAACACAATCTACAAGCACCTCTTGCTTTATATCTTTATGACAGTTTCCAGTGTTTTCATAATTATTTACAGCTCCTTTTCAAACCTGAAAGAAGTTGAAAGACAGTGTTAGACCTTCTTTTATCAACCATATGATACTCAGATGAGATACAGTTTTCTTAGAAAATGTATTGAGCTTACCTGTCATGTATATAGAGTCCGTCCATATATGTGTGGGTAGTTATTATCAAAATAATAATAATTTTTATTTTTTATTTTTCAAAGTTCATCCAATGTTTATCTTCTTGGAATGTGTGGTTAGAAAAATACTTTGATGATAAACGTCAATCGAATTCTTCATCTTCTGTGTAATCTGTAAACAACTTTCTTCTTCTTCTAATGTTTAATTGGTTGCTGTTGATTGCTTACAGAAAGTTCGTGTAAGTTCGTGTCGTTTCACTTTCACCTGACTACATAGTCACCTGCTGTCTCGAGTGGTCTCGTTGAATATTGCTTGAGTGGGGATATCTTGTCTGGAATATTTCCGGAAAGCTCGTTTCCGTCATCTCCATCTTGGCACTGGGCGAGTAGAGAGGTCGTGCTTCGTGCTTCGTGCTTTGCCACGATTCATTAAACTCTTTTAGAGTTTATTTTCCTGTTGAAGGATGCGGTGGGCATCGTTAATTTTAGCCATAAAGATGTTTCCAAGTAACGGCACTATATTATCGTTGATTTGTCTGGAAAACCCTCTTGGATCCAGAGGTAAGTTGCACCACGTTTTTTGTTTCTCGGTTCAGTTGAACAAGAGGTCTCGTTTCTTATAGGGTTTTTTGATATAATGTATTCCTTGGACACCCATTTCGATAGAGGCACATCAAATCAGTCCCCTGTGCTACCAGAGAGCAGTGTGGGCCCCCTTGTTGCGACCAAAGACCACGTGATGGTCACTTGTAGGTGCTAAAGCACCATTGGGAACTTCCCAGTAACATCAGCACCATAAGAAGAATAGACACATTTTATTCTCACCTTTTTCTTCTTGGAAGACACCTGCAGCAGCCGATTTTGTTATGTTTCGACCATGCCATGGATCAGTGGATCAACGTTGGATAACTAACTAACAGGCCAGTCGTATCATGTTCATTTCTTTTTATGTTGAATTGATTTTGGATCTACATAATATAATGACATAATTTAAATATGAAATAATTTATATGACATTGATAATGTTCAAGCCCTTCTGAACATTCACAAGTTACCATAGGTACATATATTATTCATTAACAACATTTACACCCCCAACAAAATTCATGAATTTTCCCCAGGGTATATTTAATACTATATTATTTTTCTAACAGCTTGAAAACATAGGTAAGTTTCAAGTGGGCTTTTTGATCTTATGCATAATGAACATTTAAATTGACATTTCATTGAATTCTCCAAAATTGATAATCATTCAACAAAACCATGTAAATAATTATTGTACATACATATCATATATGCATTTATATCTACATACATATCATATATGCATTTATATCTACATAGATATCATATATGCATTTATATTAAATCTCTTAGGTAAAATTCCTGTTTTATTTTTTTTTATTTTACTAACGGTTCAACTCCCACTTTTCAGGTTTCTGATTTTTATCCAAAGCAGAACATAGCTTGAAAGAATCAGTGGCGTCCAAATAAAATTTGTAGCATTCATTTTTTGTAACTTTGTCATTTTCTTTATTCAATAATTTAATCTACTTAATATCATCAATCAAAATATAACTCATAAGCAATAAACTCACAACCCATATGCCGCCGATGAAAAGCTGCCGTTAGCATGGTAATATGTTTTGTTATATTCTATATCTTTTTGTTTGATAACAAAAACACATTACATCGGGTATTTTTCCATCATGCTGGAAGATAGCTAGAGTCCAACCAATCACCAAAAATGGGAACAAGAACCTGCCCAACAACTACATGCCCATTGTCCTGTTATCAGTTATCTCCAAAGTGATGGAGAAAGCCATCAATATTGAGCTCATCAAATATCTGGAGGGCTCAGGAATCATCAATGATAGACAATACGGCTTTCGCTACCGAAGATCTACTGGAGATCTACTTGCCTACGTCTCCCATTTATGGCAAGCTTCATTAGAAAAACACGGGGAATCTCTAGCTGTCGCGTTGGACATATCGAAAGCATTCGACCGTGTTTGGCACGAAGGACTCCTCCACAAACTACCATCACACGGCTTACCACCTCAGCTATGCCATCTCTTATCGAGTTTTCTTTCAGGCAGATCGATTCACGTGGTGGTGGACGGTGTATCGTCTGATACCATTGGCATCAGTTCCGGCGTTTTCAAGTTTTTGTACAACTATGTTTCTCCTGAGAAAGGTGAAACGATTGATAACAGGCAACAATGAAATATTTGTAATTGATTCTCTTGGATCTACAACTGTGATGAGATCGAAAATATCATCAGAAAACTGAAATCGTTTTTTAATTTCAGATACCAGTTCTATATAGAATTTTAATGTGGATTTGAAGAACACATTCATTTCCATCTCATCATAATTATTGTCAGTTTTCAATGACTCAATTGATTCAAAGGCCATCACACCAAGATAAATTTTGTCAAGGGGAACAAAATTATTTGGATTAGTATGATTTATATTCAGAATATTTGATTGTTTAAGAACATAAGCTTTCTCAATAAAATTATGACATAATATCTTCAAAAGACGCTTTGTCTCTGGTTTAAGTTTGTAGAGCAATGGCCCTTCAGTTTGAAATAATTTATTAAAATCATTCAATATCTCTAAAATGTATGACATGAACTGTAAATAAATAAGAGTGTACTCATTTTCCAGTGTGCTTACAATTGTCTCGGTAGTCTTAGAAGGGTCTTCAAGGAGGGCCAATCTGAAATATGCAAAGAGAGGGTCAAATTGCTCTAATATTCTCTTGACACACTGTTCCAATGATAACCATCTGGTATTGCTTGGCATAAGGATTTTATGTATATCAGTCCTGAAAAACATCTGAAATTCGGCAAACTTGCATTGCCTACTATAACTTCTGCTAAAATGAGCACCAATATTTCTGATAACATCCTCAACTGACCGAGGCAATTGTAAACATGCTGTTGAGGCCGCTAAGTGGATCATGTGGCATGAATATCTCACACACACAATTTCAGGCAAATCCTTTTTTAGATTCGAAAAAATGGAATTGTGCTCTCCAACCATCACATTTGTGGTGTCACTAGAGAAACCAACCATATTCTCAAAAGGAATTCTATGTATGGCTAATGTTGATCTCAAACAGCTGTAGAGACTAGCAGCATCACCTTTCTCAGTTGCCACCATATCTAGAAATTTTGTTTTCACCACATTATCTGAATCAAAGAATATGATAGCAAATGCACACTGTTTGATTGTACCCACATCTGTGGTTTCATCCATAATCAGAGAAAAAAAATTAGTTTGACCTCTGACTTTTTCATCAAGTTGTTCTTGAAAATTTCTTCCCAGACCTTCTTTCAACACCACAGTAGCTTTGGTTCTTTTACAAGCCAAGTTTTTTGCTATTTCTGAATCAGAAAATATGTCAGAACATAAAGGGACAAGAGTGTCCATCAATATGAAAGGCAAATTATTTGTTGCAAGTAAACCTACTAATTTCAATTCTGCATTTTCAACACTGTTAGATTTTTGTTTCAGTAGGCTGATAATTGGCTTACACTGGGTTATCACCTTTATATTGAAGAGATGGTTATCTGATTTACTATGCCTCCTTATATCTGTTTTGTTGGGGTAAATTTGTTTGCTACATATTTTACAATAGCCGAATTCCACATTTTTTTGATGGCTTGGAATGCTAGAGCGAACAAGCCATCCTCTGAACTCAGGAAGTTCACACCATTCTTGTCGAAATTTATATGTTCTATTACTTCTATTCTGGGTCTTTCTGTTTTCCAATGAAACATCATTCTTATCCTCATTGCCATCCATCACTGGAAGATTTTCTTTATTTGTGACATCAGTATCCTGTGGAAATAAAGAAAAATACAAAAATCTTTACCTACCTGTGGAAGAAAGTTTATCAAGCAAGCAAATATTTCATAGTTTTATTTACCCTTATTTCTGTTTGTATCTTTCCTATTGTATTTTGAGCAATCTTCTTTCCACTATGGGACAGATGAAGATTCTCTTCAACATCAGTAACATCATCTCTATCAGTGCTATTGCTGTCGATGGGGTCAGTACTGTCAGTAGTGTCAGTACTATCAATATCAATGCTGGAACTGCTAGGAAAACAGGAACTGCTAGATGCCTCTTGGGACAAATGAATATCCTCTTCTTGATGCTGAGTCAATACTGTTTCTTTCTGATGATAGTAATGAATGAGTAAAGATAGAAATAAATCATATAAAATACACATTACCAAAGAAGACTTTTTTTGTCTTAACAGCCACTTATCCATATTGATGAATATTGAATATTACCTACTGATTCTGATTGATCAATATAATAATATCTAATTATAGTAATAATCTCGATCTCGCATATAACATATAAAAATTAAAAATGAAAAATACAAGAATAGAATATAGAATAAATAAATCGACATTGACACTATTGACAATATTGACACTATTGAGTGATTATTGACATTGACAGTATTGACACACATAAATTGAACTGTGTTCCATGGGCCACAGATCGACAGATCACAGAAACACGGAACACGGAAGAATTTTTCATTCACGTACCACATTGCAACACTGCACAGTGGTGCACACTAGAAACTAAAAAAAAAATATTGTCAATTTCTCACTTCAAAACCTCCAAAAGCAGATGGCAACGATTATAATGGAAAATACGTGCAGAATCCGTACAAGACCAGTGAATCCGTGCAGAATCCACACAAAATGTCATTACTGCATTTTTACTGCATGACGATGCCATTACGTGCAAATGCAGTAATTACGCGCACATTGGCATCACTGCTTTTGGGATTTGTGCATAAAAATCGATGAAACTGAAATATTTATTTTTCTAAATACAGCAACAAAAACATAGTTATTAAATATGTCGGAATAATATATCATAAAAACTAAACAGACATTCACCTGTATGAGAATGTCTAGTGAGTTTCTGTCAACATTTTTAGGTTACGAATGTGGACTCCAGACTCTAGAGTAGTCTACACTCTAGACTCTAGTATGGATCTGTATGCTCTACACCTTTTCCAATAGTAATTCAGAAAGCGTCTAATGCAATTCAGACAATATCATTTGTAATTCAGATTAGTTAATTGAAATTCAGAAAATATCAAAGGGGAAGCTTTCGTGACTGTTCTATAATAATATTTTTGGAAATATTAGTGGGATGCAGTCTGGACCAATGAATTAATTAGATTTCTTCGTTATTTGTCGAGCTTTCGAAAATTTTTATTTTCTTTATCAAGACTAACTGAAAACATCGAATGGAACAATAATATTAGAATATAAATGTACATCAAATGAAATTGGTATACTTACAAACATGAAATACTATATAAAATCAGCACAAAAAGGAAACATAGGTGTATAAATAAAATGAAATGATTTGACAAAAAAATGTCATAGATAATGGTTGACTTATTTGAAGATGTTGATACAGAGTGAGATGAATACTGATATATATAAAAATACTGATGTATAAAAAATGTTTGTAGATTATATAATATAAAACATGAATCATTCAAGGAGGACGAGTTGATTTATTATCTTTTTGTTTCTTTAGAAGGAATGTATAAATGGTACTAAGATCGTTGATGTCTGTTCTTTTGTTCATCGTTTTATCATTTTCATTAATATGTACCATTTCAAGAAAGAGGCGTTTGTTGAGATGTTTTTCATAATCCAGAATTTTGGCATTATCATAATTCATTATATGATCTTCATCTATAACATGTTCAGCAAGGCTACATGATTTTAAATTTCTTCTACATGTTATAGATGAAGATCATATAATGAATTATGATAATGCCAAAATTCTGGATTATGAAAAACATCTCAACAAACGCCTCTTTCTTGAAATGGTACATATTAGTGAAAATGATAAAACGATGAACAAAAGAACAGACATCAACGATCTTAGTACCATTTATATACATTCCTTCTAAAGAAACAAAAAGATAATAAATCAACTCGTCCTCCTTGAATGATTCATGTTTTATATTATATAATCTACAAACATTTTTTATACATCAGTATTTTTATATATATCAGTATTCATCTCACTCTGTATCAACATCTTCAAATAAGTCAACCATCATCTATGACATTTTTTTGTCAAATCATTTCATTTTATTTATACACCTATGTTTCCTTTTTGTGCTGATTTTATATAGTATTTCATGTTTGTAAGTATACCAATTTCATTTGATGTACATTTATATTCTAATATTATTGTTCCATTCGATGTTTTCAGTTAGTCTTGATAAAGAAAATAAAAATTTTCGAAAGCTCGACAAATAACGAAGAAATCTAATTAATTCATTGGTCCAGACTGCATCCCACTAATATTTCCGAAAATATCAAATGTATTTCAGAATTGTCAAGTGATATTCAGAATGCGTCATTTGTAATTCAGATTAATCAACTGAAATTCAGAAAGCGTCAGTTAGAATTCAGAAAGCGTCAAATGAAATTCAGAAAGCGTCATTTATAATTCAGAATGTATCATTTGTAATTCAGAATGGGTCAATTGTAATTCAGACTATCTCATTTGTAATTCAGAATAGTTGATTGAAATTCAGAAAGCATTATTTGTAAAGCAGATGAGTCAATTGAATTTCAGAAAATATCAATTGTAATTCAGAATAGTCAATTGAAATTCAGAAAATATCAATTGTAATTCAGAAAACTCCATTTCTGATTCAGAAATATGGAACAGTGTTACGTCTGCATGCATACCTATCTACAATCTATCATTATCAAAAGTACCTACCTACTGTGTATATCCTATTGTCCTGGAAACGAATATTCTAACTTCAAATAATCATAGGTCGCGTGCAAGAACTGTCAGATGACCGACCCTGGAGGCAAAATAAATTACATAACCTCACTCTTCTTTTATGTTTATATCTGTCATAGATAAACTACATTGTTTTTTGGAACATTTTCACTATTTTTCACTGCATTCGAGAGATCATTCTGAAAAATGGACCTGAGAACATATTGTTCAAGTTTAGATGATGTTCATCGCCAACGATATGTGGAGAAAATTTCAGTGTTGGCCAGACATTTCCCTCTTTCCCCAAATTATGTATCCAGACATCGTCAACTATTTGGTTACTACAAAGAGTGCTTTCACTATGACCGAGATGAAAGCATATAAAAGCTTGGAGGCTTACAATCTAGCCATTTGTGGATGGGTGAAAAAAATATGTGTGAAACATTAATTCTCATATTCTAGTTATTGGAAAGGTACAATAGACATATTCAGAGAAGAACATAGAACTTTTACCTATATAATTTTTCAGGTCATGCATTCACAAAGACTTAATGATAAACTATTAATGGATTATTTCTCTGGGAGATGGAACCATTCTAAGTGCTCATTGTGATTGTGTTGCTGGCTTAGGAGAGGTTTGCACTCATGTAGCTGCAGTTTTATTTTCTATTGATGATGCCATTCGTAAACGGGAGAATGTAACCAGAACAGGTGTGAAAGCATATTGGATGCCTCCATCAAATAAACCAACTGAACCATGCCGTGTGTTAAACTTGAATCTTGTGAATCCCAAGAAATTGAAACTCATGGAAGATGAACCTTTATACACCAGGAAGGCACCATTAGATATATCTTCCATTACAAAGGAACAGAAAGATGAGTTACTGAGAAATTTAGCAGAGGCCAAAGGGGCAGTTCTTCATTCCATTACCAAACCATTTTCTGAATCATTGCTGGATGACTTAAGATGTAAACATCAGAAGTTCATGATCATGAACTTATATAGGGATGCCTATAAAAATTCTACTCTGTCAGAGCTCCAGAAAATGGGTATGATTGCATTCATTTATTTTCATTGGGAATATTATTTAAATATTTTTTAGGTGGTGATGTTGATATATCTTTAACATATGAAGAGTGTAAGCAAATTGAAAGAGAGACTAGAGAACAATCAAAATCAAAATCCTGGTACAATTATAGGGCAGGAAGGGTAACAGCTTCCAATTTCAAAAAATGCTGTAGAACTAAAATTGACAAACCTTCTATATCTCTCATAAAATCTATATGTTATCCAGTGACTCATAGATATAAAATCAAAGCTTTGGATTATGGGTGCCAACATGAGAGTGTTGCTAAGGAAGATTTGCTGAGAGAGCTACAAAAATCACATAGGAATGTTGAAAGCGATCCTATTGGACTTTTCATAAATCCAAAATACCCCTATTTTGGAGCATCCCCAGATGGGCTGGTGACATGTGATTGCTGTGGTACTTATGTCATTGAAGTTAAATGTCCCTACTGTGCTAGATTTGCTGGTGTCACTGATTTGATCAGGAAGGAAACTTACATGATTCAGAGGGATGGAAAATTTTCACTTAAGGAAGACCATGAATACTATTACCAGGTGCAAATGCAGATGGCTCTAACAGGTTTAGAAAATTGTTATTTCATTGCATGGAGCAAGAAAGATTTTGCCTATTGTGTGGTTCATTTTGATCAGCAGTTTTTGGAAAGAGAGAAGAAAAAGGCACAGTTATTTTTCAACAAAGTCATTTTACCTGAAGCCCTTGGAAAATTTTATACAAGAACAGAGCCAGAACCTGTTTTAGACACAACACCTATTTCAGACCCAACACCCCTTTTAGACCCAACACCTATTTTAGACCCAACACAGACAGACCTCATTTTAGACCCAACACAGAACCAGATTCAGAATTGACACACCCAGGACCTAGCAAACCCCCTCTATATTGCTTATGCCAACAGGAAGATGACAAAAATAATCCCATGATTGCATGTGAGTCTGGATATTGTGCAATTGAATGGTACCACTTCAACTGTGTAGGATTGATGGATATTCCAGTTGGATTATGGATTTGTGATTTATGCAGGACCTAAAATGTCATAGGTATTCTGGAACTGCCCTAGAGGAGAATGAACCAATTGAATTTGAAATTATAAATACATATAGGTACTTCTTCATATTTTTTAGGAATGGATTATGCTTATGGAAGCCATCAAAATGAAGGGAAAACCTTTTCAAAGTTGAATTCAACAAAGGTCATTTGTGACAGTCACAACAGCAAAGGACACTATTATAAAATGGGAAGTTTCATAAAGAAATTACTTCAATTTTCTGATTAACCTGTCTGTGGAATTATTGTTTCAGATGAAGCCTACATCAGGGACAGTCTACAAATTGTTGATGGGGTCCACTTCAAGCAGATACTTCTGATATGTTTGAATTTGTTCTATTAACTT